GTGATTTAATATTAATCCATGCACATTGGATCAGCACCGTTCAACAAGGGGGTCATTAAACGCACTTTATGTAGGTGCAGGGCGGTGCAAAAACAGTAGGCTGAGGAAGAAGATATGTCTGCACACTTGCTCAATTGCCACAAAAACATTTTCTTTCATTACAACGCTTCAACCAGTCTCCTTTAGGCACTCAAGAAGGATCACCTGAAGAAGACCTCTGGTCGAAACGCTCTGATTGTGATGGGATAAAAACTATTTGTGGCATTCGAGCAAGTGTGTGGGCATTTCTTCTGCCTCAGTTCTAGTCTCTGAAACATCAGCGGTAGAAAACAAATATAAGACAGAAGAGAGGGACTTTATTGGGACCATGAATTGTCTGGCAGCAGTCAGTCAGAGCTCTGCTGTGAAGGATCACACGTGTACTTTGATTAAATGTAGACACACAAAAAACCACGTCTTCTTTATGGTCTGTCCTCAGGTGAGCTGCCTCTGTCTCTGGCAGCCTGCACCAACCAGCCAGACGTGGTCAACTTCCTCATGCTGAACGAGTACAAGCGAGTGAAGCCTGAGGTGAAGGACTCTCATGGGAACACAGTGCTGCACGCCCTGGTGGTGGTGGCGGCTGAGAACTACAAAGAAAACACAGAGTTCATCATCAACATGTATGACTTCATCCTCAAGACTGCTGCCAGCCTGTACCCCAAACTAAAGCTGGAGAACATCAAGAACAACAAGGGGCTGACACCTCTCAAACTGGCTGCCAAGACGGGAAAGATCGGGGTAAACACCTGTGGGACATGAGCTAATCAGACCTATTTGTTTTTTTTAACCATGCTGTAAACATGTTAATCTCTGCTGTAAAAACAGGCTTTTTTGAATGGGTGTGTATGTGACTTTCGGGGCTTCTGCAGCCAGCTTCTAGAGGACACTTGAGGAACTGCAGGATTTTACACTTATACATTGGCGTCATTTTTTAACAACAGAGAATGCTGCTTGGCAAAAAAAATCGAACCTGCTCCGGAAAAAATGAAGACAGATGATAGTTTCGGAATCAGTGTGCAAACATGATTAACAACGTGAGATTATATTTTTTCTTAATGAAAAAAACAGATTCAGTTTGCAGAGGCCTTTAGAGCTGCACAGTGTGTGCCAATCAAGACATGAGCTATTCAGACCTGTTTGAATGGGTGTGTATGTGACTTTCAGGGCTTCTGCAGCCAGCCTGTAGTGGACACTCGAGGAACTGCAGTTCTTTTTGCACTTGAGGATTACCGCACTGGAGGTTGCCGCTTGAGGTCTTCAGTCCTGCTAGCTGGCATTGAGTCACAAACACGTCTACAATGTCACGCTTGATAAAATAAATGTATCTAAATAAACACTAAATATTTTTCTTTCCTCTTGTTTGTCTGCAGATTTTTTCACACATCCTAAAAAGGGAATTCGATGAGAGTCACACCAAACATTTGTCCAGGAAGTTCACACAGTGGGTTTACGGGCCTGTCACCTCCTCGCTGTATGACCTTGCCTCTGTGGACTCGTACGAGGACAACTCAGTGGTGGAGATACTCGTCTACGGCAATGGCATTCCTGTGAGCATTTTGACTCCAGTCACAGCAGCAGCTTTTATTATTCTGTACTCATGCCCATTATCAGAACAAACTGGATTCAAGCTGCATGACTTCATCACTGTAGTTGAGTTTAATCCCTAAAGTCGTCCTGTCTTCTCTCAGAACCGTCATGAGATGCTTCAGACGGAGCCTCTGAGCCGGCTGATGGAGTCAAAGTGGAAGAAGTTTGCAGGTGGAATGTTTTTTTTCAACTTCCTGTTCTACCTACTGTACCTGATCATTTTCACTCTGGTGGCCTACAATAAGAAGTCGGATAAGGAGGTGAGATAGCCGATCACACAGAAGCCGTTTTCACACATGCACTCCTGAAAAGGTATAAATATGTCAGGAGGACCGCCCCTGAAATCCTCCTGATCTGGTTGTTCACACATGCACCTCACAGCAGAAACTATCCCTGTCAGACGGGAGGGGGGGCGGGGGGTCTCATGTGGATGACATGACGCTAAAAGAACAACGTGGAAGTAGCAACAGAGTCCGCTACACAATGTTATGTGTCTTGTGTTTCTTCTCCGTTCCACAGCTGCCATTTCGCATTGAATACAACACAATGGGTTACCTGTACGTTTCAGGCCAACTCGTGACAGCTTTGTCAAACTGCTATTTTTTTATCACTGGGGTGAGTACCCTTTAAATTCAAAGTCCAGACGCTAATATGGCAACCTAATGCAAACTGTGTTCTAATATCATCAGCTGTTTTAATGATCGTTTTCAATCTCTAGATCATGGACATGTGGATGAAACGGCCGAAGATGCAATCATTGCTGGTTGATGGCTATTATGAGATTCTGTTGTAAGTATTGATGCTAATTTGTGAAATGTAGGGCTGTCAGCGTTAATCGCATCATGTTTTTTTCCCCATCGAATGGATCGCGGGCCTTTTGTCCCTTCAGGCTCCCCGTAGATAGTCGTCCTCAGTGTCTCCCTGCAGTCTCAGTGATGTAAAAGAAGGACACTGCTGCATCTTTGAATGTCTCATTTCACTTTAACAAACTCTCAGACAGCTCAGCTGACGAGTCCAAAGTAATATCCACCTTATGACATAACACATTGACCTTATGACATCACACATTGACCTTTGTTACCGTTGTTTGACCGCTGTTTGACCTCAGTTTGGGATCCCTAACCACTTCCTGTTTCTGTGCTTAACTTCATGTCCTAACCTTCCATCTACAGGAAGGGCCTTACTTTATTTCAAAATAAAAGCTGGTTTGTGTCCAAACAGGAAGTTAAATACCCTTTAGCTCAAGGGCCACCTGGTGTCTAATCGCCCGGAGAAAAGGTGCATGATTTGCGGAAGTAAAATGCTAATATTCGGCTATGAAGGACTTACGCCACGGTCAACTGACTTCAACACCACTGAGCTTCCAACTCCAGTTTCATGCTTTCACCTCGGCGAAAGTGTTATAGACAAACTCTGTAGTCCAAGTTAGCTAGTTTTTAGCAACCGTCTTTTTAGTAGACCCTGAAAAATCTTGAAATTTCAGAACTTTTAGATGTATTTTATGTTCAAAAATCCCGTAGACTTCAAGACGATAAAACCTGAGGTGCTAAAATGCTAATAAATTTTCTGGGTTCTAGGACTCGTTACTTCAGCGCTCTATTCAGTGAAGATCTGTCATTCTCCTTGTGGGGAGTGGTTGGGTGGCACGCTAGCGCCTTCTGTTGACCAGCCGCCACTGCCGAACACTTAAACCGACATAAAAACAAGACAAGTGTCATCTCGTCAAACTAGCAGACTTCATAATGTAGCTATCTGCTGCGGCTGTGTGTTAGTCATCATTTATAATCCTGAAGCTCCACAGGATCTCAGAGGCTTCTCTGTTTGTAGTCTGGTGCAGGGGGCCCTCTTCCTGGTCGCCTCCGGTCTGTACCTGTCCAAGCGGCCGGAGTACCTGGGCTTCCTGGTGCTGTGTCTCGCTCTCAGCTGGGTCAATCTGCTCTACTTCTCCCGAGGCGATAAACACATGGGCGTCTACAGCATCATGATACAGAAGGTAGACGGTCCTCACAGGTCACTCTGCTCCATGGTGAACGTCTGATCCCTGAATCCTTTTGTCTCATTTCTTTCTTGTAGATGATCCTCAGTGACATCATGCGCTTCCTCTTCGTCTACGCCGTCTTCCTCTTTGGGTTCTCAGCAGGTAGTCATTCAAAAAACACCTGATACTCTCTTTAAAGGTACAACGTGTAGAATTTTATTTGAACGTTTGCATGGCCCTGTCAGAAAAAGTTCTTGGGATTACTGACACAGAAGCAGAGCTTTGTACCTTTGTGAACGAGGTTGGCACAACTTAACAAAGCATACATTTAAAGTACATATTATGAAAAATCCACTTGCACAGTGTTTTTTAACATTTATTTGGGTAACCTGAGTGTCTACCAGCCCACAAAATATGAAGTCCATCAAGTCCTTTGTTTGTGGTCTGAATAAGTCTTACAACACAGAGAAAAATGCTACGGTTCTAATTTGCTCTCCTTGTGATGTCACAGTGGGAATCTGGTAAAAAAAAATCCCCTCCCTCCCCTGGTATCTCCACCCATGGACTCCACCCCAGCCTAGAACAAAACTTTTGTGCAGGTCGCCATTTTTAGTCTTGCTAAAGAGGAGTGATGTCTACAGGGAAAACTCAGGGGGGCTCATTGCATTTAAAGAGACACACACACCAAAACGGAGCGTTCTGAGAGAGCTGGTTTATACAGGGTCACAAACCTCCTCTGGTGCTTGATTCATGTTATATTTTGACCAAAGCACAGCACAGATGTTTCATTTAGACCACAGGGGACTGTTTGAAAAGGTGGAAAAGGGGGATAATATGTCCTCTTTAAAGCAACAATACGTAACCATTCAACCTTAAAATAGTAGATACAGAGGTCTATTTGACAGAACAATGACTTTCAACAGGAGAATGGCGTATCTCACATGTCCACAGAGCTCCCAGGTCTCCTGTTTTCAGCACTATGTAACTTTGTCAGCGAAGTCATCTCATTAAAAGTGCGTACGTCTTTACAGTGCTAGTTCACAAAGCAGCCTTCAGCTACAAAGCAGCCAGTTAGCTCTGGCTCTGTACTGTTTGATACGACGACTGAGGCTAAGAGGAAGAGGACGGAGACAGATGAGGAGAAGAAGAGAGAGTGAGAGAGCGAGAAGCAGAGTGTACATCCCTGCATATATTACTCAGAACAGATTGAGACGTAACGTTAGCGGTGTCATCGTTTTCTCATGTTTAGCAGCTTTAGCGGCTACAGAAATCAGAATCAGAATCAAAATCAGAATCGGGTTTTATTGCCAAGTACATTTACACATACAAGGAATTTGGTGTATTGGTGCTAAACAATTAACAAGGAAATAACGCAGAACTAGTAACAACTTAAATAATACAGTATAAGAAGCTATTACAATATATCAAATAGAATTTAAAGATGTAAAATATAAAACAAAAAATAAAAGACACAAAATGTACAAAAGGTGCAATGTGAGCTGTGTAGTGGACTATGAGAAAAAAAATCTTAAGTGTATGTTACCTACTCACAGAGTGTATGTAAGAAAATACATTTTAAGTCCAGTGGGCATTAATGTAACATATAAAGAATAGTTCAGCATTCGCATTACTCTGATTGAAAGTCGTCTAACCCGAGTTATGTCTCAGGTTCGATCCGAATAAATCAATAAATCCATCTGACACCAAAAAGTCATCTCTCTCCTCGTCCATCTTCAAGTTAGCTTTATAAGTTTAGAACCTTACAAACCTATCTCAACCAGCATGTAATAAATGAGCCTCTCCAATGTAGACATTTCACCATGGCCTATAGTCGTCATGGTAACAGGTACATACACAGACACATACTCCAAATGCTAACAGTTAGCTAACAACAGGCTGTAGACGCTAGCAGAGTAAACAAGGTTCTTTAGCTGATGCATGTTGTTGAAGAGGAGGAGGAGTTGACAGCACGATGTGTGTCTCAGGACAGTGCAGTTACACTCCATCAGTGGGTCCAGTGTGCACCAAAAGGAATTCCTATTGTTGCTTTAAAGAGATGTCACTTCTTTTTGTGTGGGACTTTTTTGAAGAGGTTAAAGTTCGTTAAAGTTCTACAAACCCTTTTCACATATGTGTATTGCTGAAGTTTCATGTGTACTACCCATTTCAAAGTACCTCAGGTGTACTGGATGTAATCTGCTTCCTATCTCTGTCACAGCGGTGGTCACCCTGCTCATAAAGCCTGAAGAGAAAAACACAACCACTGTAGCTCCGGGAAGAGGGCGTCTTATGGTCCCCTTGACGACAACGAGCTCTGCCTGAAACCGACCTTTGCAAGCATCTCCTACACCACGCTGCAGCTCTTCAAGTTCACCATCGGCATGGGCGACATGGAGTTCACCCAGGACTACCAGTACATAGAGGTCTTCTACATACTCCTTATCGCCTACATCATCCTCACTTACATCCTGCTGCTCAACATGCTCATCGCCCTCATGAACCGCACCGTGGAGAAGACACCATGGAGAGCGACAGCATCTGGAAGCTGCAGGTGAGGTGTCCAAGAGGGAGTGACTGTGTAGGGCTGATTTTCTGTTTTTGTTGCAGCTGTGGTTTGATGACACGGTGTGATTGCTCCTCAGAGGGCAATTACCATCCTGGACATGGAGAAGAGGCTGCCTCGGTGCATGAGGAAGTGGCTTCGCTGCGGGGTGGATATAAACCTAGGAAAGAATATTGAAGATGGCTGTCGGAGGTGTTTCAGGTTTGCTTCTTTTGTTTGGGGACAATAAGCAATGCCCCCACTTTTTTTTAGAAGTATTGACAGGGCAGCCGCTCTCTTAAGCTAACAAGTTAAGTGTGCGGAGCTCAAAAGATGTTTAAGTTCTCTGTTACTGTTTTTCAAATTTTATAAATGTATCCGATGAACTTTTTTAGTAATGCAGATTCCTGTTGATCGGCTACGTAAGCCTGGCTCAGATCACAGGATAATTGGGCCAAATTTGCCATGACACTGAAGCTTCAGTGTTTAGCCAGCTCTGCATCAGTCTGTAAACCTTTCTGTGTTCTAACCTCTCTCCATTTTTCAAAATCATCTCCAATATTGATCCTAGTTTGAGCACGTTTCTGCTCGTGGAGCTTATTAGAAACATGCAGAGGCTTTTTAGGTCGGGTACAATCACTTCTATCTGAACCACTTCTCTTGACTGCTTCCATCGCTGCAACACCTGTTGACCTGATAACTGCTCTCATATCTGTCAAACCGAGGGGCATCTAAAACGGCCTTAAAACGGCCTACCTTCTCCTGGTCCAAACAAATCCAGAGCATTCAGGACCAGAATCTAAAGTTAGAAGGAGGACATACTGGCTGCTGCATTGTTGTCAGAGAAGCCAGCACTTCAACATAGCATGTTTCCTTAATGTCTGATCAGATAGTAAGGCACTATCATTTCACTCACATCTTACAGACTGCTCCATTAAATGTATTAACATTAAGTAGATTGCCTGACCCTTTCATTAGTTATGACTGCTTTAAATGTTCTTTAACCCAGGCAGGTTAAGTATGAGACATTGAAATGATTCACAGGGCTGATATTCCTGTTGCTCTTTTATAAACAGCAGTAAATAACGTCAGATCCTGCATGAATTCATGCTAAATTCACCAGTTCAACTCTACAGAGTGATCCTCTGCTGGGAAGCAAATCAAGGTGTAGTGAACACTTTTAAAAAGGGCAGCGAGAAAGATTCAGGTCTGAAGGTTGTCACAGAAGTTGTAGCTGAACGAGCAGCATCGATTGAAGCCGCTGTTCTGTGTTCTTCACTAACGCACCTCCTCTGACAGCGGAGTGATGCGTCACACACAGACAGTAATTGGAGCATGTGTCCTCTCGTCTTCACAGAGTGGAGGAAGTCAACTGGAACAAATGGAACATCAACCTGGGCATAATCAATGAGGAGCCTGGCTGGGATCAGGCCCAGCAGCCGGCCTCGGATACCTCGCACAGAGCGCACAGAGCGCACAGAGGTGACGAAACATGATAACAGCTTAACTTTAAAGCTTAGTTATAATATTTATAGACTTTTATTTTGGAGCTTTATTCAGCGACAGGACAGTGGAAAAGACAGAAATCAGGGAGGGAGAGAGAGGGGAGGGACACAGGTCGGACTCAAACCTGGGCCACCCGCCTGGAGGACCACAGCCTCTGTACATAGGGGACCACTAGGCTACCAGCGCCCCCAACGTAGTCACAATATTTAGATCTAATCTGCTGAAATGTACTCATAAAACCTGATTAGGAACTTAACCAAACTGGACAGACACATGCTGCAACGGACAATCAGGACTGCAGAAAAAATTATTGGTGCCAACCTGCCCCCATCAAGGACTTATACCGGTTCAGGGTCAGGAAACAGGCCTTAATGCAGACTCTTCACACCCGGTACACAAACTGTTTAAACTCCTCCCTCTGGTAGGCGTTACAGATCACAGCCATCCGCCAATTTCATCATATATATTAACCAAGAAACATGTAACTGAAATAAAACAGTGTTAATGTTTCAGTTCAGATCATGGAAAGTGTCCTGTTAAAGGTCACCCATTGTTCAAAATCCACTTCACCATGTTTCTCTACACTAATATGTGTCCCTAGTCTGTCTACAAACCCCCCTATGATGAGAAAAGTCTGAGTCTGCTTCTCACTGTAAACAATAGGACATGGAGCGAGAAAGCCTGAGGCAACCGAGTCCTTCCAGAGAGGGGCGTGGTCAGACACAGCTCATTTACATTTAAAGCTACAGACACAGAAACAGTCTGTTCTGAGCAGGGCTGAAATAGAGGGTTTATAGACATGATCAAATACAGGATCAGAGTGAATTCAAGACACTTCACACACATGTTTTGAGGACTCTAAGACTTATTTAAACTGGTTGAAGAGGAGGAGAATATGTGACCTTTAAGTCCACAAAGATCCAAAGGAAGGGTTTCAGAAACTCAAAAACTTATTTATAATCCAGGCAAAAAATATCAAAAGCAACAACACATTGCAAAAAAAAACCACAAAAAGGGAAAAAATGGATTTTCCAAAGTGATCGAACTTCACAGGTCCTGGAATAGAGTAATTAAAGTCCGTTCTTCAGAGTCCTTTTGACTGAAAACTCAGTGTTCCTGCTCCTCCTCGTGTGGAGGAGGAAACCCATAAAAAGGAGCGTATGTTTCTATTTCTCCCTCCAAAACAGCCGTCCAGTAGGCTCCTCTCCCTCTTTACCAACAAACAAAACCCCCCCAACAAACATTTCTCCGCCTTCCTTTGTTCTCCCCAAGGCCACACCCCCTTACCACACACCTGTGTCTGTCTAGTATCCTCAGGTCACATGACCAGGCTGACTGCAAACTAAAAACAACAACACACAGAAAAATGACTGACAGGGACAGAGACACAAAAAAGGGATTTAACTTTGCAAGGATTTATTTTGAATGAATCC